GGTGGAGGAGGAGGGAAGTGTTTCGTGGGGGGTTTCCTTGCCAGGCTTTACAAATAATCCCGGAGGAATCATAGGATCACGGAAAGTTGGAATGGGCCCCAAGGATTTATAGGCAAAGCCTGTATACCAAAAGCTTTATATGACCTAGACAAAATGGCCCAGCACCTTGTCCAGCCAAATCTTAACACTTCCCTGGGAAGTTTGTTCCCTGTAGGAGGAGGCTGTGGGAAACCAAACTGAAATCCAGGTAGACAGTGGTGGTGTCAGGAAGTGTTGTTTTTGGTGACAGCTGAGTGGGATCGGGCGGGGGGAGATTTCCTTGTTTTAACCCATCCTTAATGAGAGATTCTGGTTTTCAAAGGGTATGTTACAACTATACTGGAAGATGCAAAGATCTACTCGAGCCACGCAAAGAAATCCAGCGTCGATGCGGATGACGTGAGGTTGGCGATCCAGTGTCGAACAGACCAGTCCTTCACATCTCCACCTCCGCGAGACGTAAGTAAAGCTGCATCGGTGAGAACAGAACATGATCAAGGGCTCCAGGTGGGAATGTGACTGTGTCTCTCCAGTTCTTGTTAGATATTGCAAGGCAGAAAAATCAGACGCCGCTGCCGCTGATAAAGCCTTATTCTGGACCCAGGCTCCCACCTGACAGATACTGCCTGACCGCTCCCAACTACCGGCTGAAGTCATTGCAGAAGAAGGTACAGACTTTGCGTGGGGAAGGATTCACACTGTCAGGATCATTGTTGGAATTAGTTTTCTGCCCCGTTTTGGGATAGGTGTGGGAAAACCCAATCTGTGCACATCAGAAGTGCGTTTGACACAAGGTCAGCAGTCTTTAGCTCTAGGAATTTGCCACTATTACTGCTGGTTAGTTTCAAAGGCAAAAAGTGTGTTATCAAACGTGCCTGTGAATTTTTTAGTGTTAAAATTGTCAGGTTGCATATCAGATCATAAAAGGCAAAAATAAGGCTTTAGGATAGCTATTAAGGGGTATTTTGTACTTGCACCTCAGCTGTTTCTGCTTTAGGGGGGAAAGATTCACATGACTGGCTGGAAAACACTGAGGGTCTTGGTGTGTAGGATTTCATATTTATTTATTTCCCCTGTTTTAAATAAAGTTTTAAAAGTTGATCTTAAGGCTCCAGATGTTGACATGGGATGTGCCTTGATGTAGAGTGGAGTAATATAATTATTGATTAAAATGTTCTAGCTACTTTTCTGGTAGACGCAAACCTGACTGACCCATGGTGCTCATCCTGCAACTAAATGCCAGGAGCTCTCCCGCTTGCACCAGTGACGTTCACACCATGCAGAGCTTGAGAACCTCTGCATGGGCCTATAGCTTGTGTGTTGGTGCTGTGAAATGGGCACCCCAGGGTTTTGTAGGAAGAACCATTTCTTCTTTCCACCTCAAGAACTGTTGGTTTCTAATAGGAGCTAACCTGAATGTTCTCTCTCAACAGGTCTCTTCCTCTGCAGGCAGAATAACAGTCCCTCGCCTGAGTGTTGGTGCTGTGAGCAGCAGGCCCAGCACTCCTACTTTAGGTATGAAACACCTCAGTTGAGGTTTCCCACATTGATTTCATGAAGGCAAAAAATAGTGAGAAATAATTTAAATGAACTTTCAACCTCTGAGAGAACATTGGGTGCCACCTGAACTTAGTATTGCTTGACAACACCAGGAAAATACAGTTAATTTCAAAAAGATTACCGTCATCTTTGGTGCATATTTGCATTACTGATGTTCTGTACATTTATTCCTGTATTTGTGGTAACTTTGATATGGAAAGAGATTATTCAAGAAGCTTACTGAAGTTTGAGGGTTTTCTCCTCACTGTAAGCATAACACAAATAACACCAAATAAAATCCATTTTTAAAAGGTTTACGAAACTTATGACTGAGCACATGCACTTATGTGTTGGTGTGTGTTTGTAGCCTAAAATTTTCTAAGCCTTGACTGAATGCACAGTTCTGCCTGAAAACCTGACTCCTATCGACCCAGTATTGGTGTGTTCCGCTGCATTGGAAGTGACAGGTTCCACTTTGAAAGCGAATTCAGATGTTCAAGTATATTTCTTTTAAATTGATCTCTTGACCACGTTGTTTGAACTGCAGGTACACCTTCAGCACAGGCCGTGTCTGTCTCAACCAAAGTGGGCACTCCAGTGTCGCTGACGGGGCAGAGGTTCACCGTGCAGATCCCCTCTTCCCAGGCCACAGTCAAGTCAGGTAAAACACAAGCAGAAACCAGCAGCGCTTTTTGGTCTTCTTTTTGAGCATTCTTCTTTTTGAGCATTCTTCTTGCTAGCATTTTCCCATCCTCTCTATTCTTGCAGCCCTGAATGTTCTAGTAACACGCTGCTTCATCAGGTTGCAAGTTCTATTTCTGTGTGGGAAAATCCACTGTCATCTTTTTCAAGCTTTTAATCGAATGGCTTCATTTCTCTTTTCACAGCCACACCAACTACTCCAACAGTTCAGAATGTTCTAATTAATCCTTCGTTAATTGGACCAAAGAACATTCTTATTACTACAAATATGGTGTCATCACAGAATGCATCTAATGAATCGAACCCCTTGAAAAGGAAGCATGAAGATGATGATGACTATGATAACTTGTGAGGAGACTGCCCGGTCCCCTTCCTGTCATCACTGATTCACATTGAGTCTAATGAGGTTTTTTGCCAAGAGTTCTTCTTAAGCAGTGTGAGAATGTGTAAATACTCTGTTAATGTACAGTGGGTGTGGAGTGAGAGCTCTTTGCCTGTGGCAAGATGGGAAAGTGACTTCTGTCTTGTGGCCCGTGGATCTCAGCAGCGATGGTGAGCACTGGTTCCTGTCACATGGGAGAACAGTCTCTGTGCCTCTTCTGTCGCCTTATTCTAATGGACGTGTCCGTGTCTCTGAATCCAGGGAGCCCTGTGCTGTAGTACTGTCCTGTGCCAAGTAAAATTAGTTTTTAGAAAACTCTGGATGGTGTAACATAGAGATTCCTTCCAAATAATGTCAAAACCAGCCCTGGGAGACTCAAAGAGATGGGACATAGCTGGAACAGTGTATCAGCCTTTTTGGTTTTTTGGTCCACTGAATACATTTGCTGCTTCTAGGTAGTGTTAGTCCCATGCACTGTTCTGTGTGTGCAGTTCAGTGAGTGCAAATATTATCTCTTAACAATAGAAATGCAGACAGAAGGAAGAGGAGGGGTTTTTGGGAGAAAATTGCCTAGGCTGACCCCCTCATACCAGTTAATTCGCAGCTTCTGTTTACCTCAACACCTCCACCAGTACTCACAGCTCTGAGTTAGACGAAAGGAAAACACAGCAAAGATTTGTTCTTGGCTTATTTCAAAAGATAAGAGCTTCGTTGTGCGTGTGTATGTGTGTGGAGTGAACTGTGGCATGGGGGAACTTGGTGGAGGGTGGTGTGTCTGAGCTTGGCTCTGAGGGGCTGATACAAAGCCCCAGGTACCTGCAGGTGCTTTTGTTGTGGACCAGCAGCCCGAGTCTGCTGTGCTGCATGTCTGCAGCTTTAAGAGCTCTTGCAGAGGTTCTGGCTTAGCCACTGCTTCCTACAGAGGCCATTGAAGGGTGCCAAGTGATTGAAGACACTGGCTTTTGAAGTGATACACGAGTGTCTTCCTGACACTTTTTTCAGGTGACTGGTGTCACTTGATGTGCCATGGGCTGGCTCCAGCTGCAGGAGCTCTCCATCTGTGCTCACTTGGTTAATTCCAGTGGATTTCGTCTGGCAAAAGGATGAATAAAAGTCACTTTTCACAGAGAGGAGGAGTGCACAGGCAGCATCTGAGGGGAAGGGCAGTGTCTGGGGTGAAGAAACTGGGAGCTTGGGCAGTACAGGAGGAAGGAAATGTGGGTGCTGGGGTAGGGGGGTACACAGGCACACAGAGACATGCTCAGAGACACACTGACGCAGACAGACGCATGTACACACAGACAAACATGTAATTGTGTTACACACTCTCCCTGGTAAGCTATTAATTCGTACGGACAGCGTGTAGAGACTACTGTGTCTGTACAGAGAGACACTCCACAGTAGTTACTGGTGCAGACAAACACACTCAGCCCCGCCTTGATGTACACTACAGATTAATGGATACACTTTTATACACACATTCATGCACTTACTCTTTTCTATATTCTATGTATTATGTATTTATACAGTCCCAGACACCCTTTTTATACATCTATATAACATATACAGCATATAACATGCTATATAATAGGCAATATGTATTTTTTTTTATATTTCTACACATCCACAGTCTCACAGACACTATTCTTACATAGATACTAGCAAATGGATATATGTATAAATAAAACTGTGTAATATCCTCTCTCACACGCCTGCTCCCACTTTTGAGAATAATATACATCTGTATTTGGACGTACATACTCATGTAGGTTTAGTTTACACACCTATATACACAGGGATTTATACTCTATATATGTACACACAGCCTCAGGCACTCTTCCATTTTTATATATAAGTATAATCATAGAAGGGGTTGGAAAGGACCTTAAGATCATCTAGTTCCACCCCCCCTGCCATGGGCAGGGACACCTCACCCTAGACCATGTCGCCCAAGGCTCTGTTCAACCTGGCCTTGAACACTGCCAGGGATGGAGCATTTACCACTTCTTTGGGCAACCTGTTCCAGTGCCTCAGCACCCTCACAGTAAAGAATGTATATAGCCTATAACAAAGCAATATATAGCATTTTCTTACATATGCCATTTGTTATATTTTATGTGTCATGTAGTCTATTGTTCATCTTTGTATTATATAATATATAATCAGGTTATTACATACTGTTACATATTACATCATACACATGTATATTAGACCATTATATAACACATATATGTATAAACCCCACACACCCTTGCACAGTCTCCTTTTATGTCCAGGTGTATGGTTGTACTCTGTACAATTGCAGACACCCTCTTTTGTTATACCTACACTATAGTATGTAAAGTACGCGGGTAAAACCTGTATGTAGTGCATCACGCGCACACGTGTGTCCATATTGTAATAGTGTAACATATACGGCTACAAAAAAATAGAGTCTACCACCTCTCTAAGTACTTACGATCCACCACACACACATTCACTCTTGCTCTCACATAGCCACCTGCTCGTTTTATACTTTTAGGCATAAATGCATATTTATTTGTAGTCTTCCCACACACACGGCTCCCATTCGATATGCAACACATTATAAACATATAATGTAATAGAGAACGCCTAACACTGTTTTATATAATGCTCATATATCATATAGCTTATCTATATCATATTTTTATTTGCATGTTTGCGTGTATAGATATTAAAACACATCAGTTGGACTCGACAATCTTTAGGTTCTTTTTTCAGCCTGAATCTGTGATTCCATGTTTCGACTGTCCCTATACACACAGTATGACAGCCCTTTATATAACTAAACCATATAACTTTTTATGTCATAGATTATGTATATATAGAATATAGACATATCCTCCACAACAAACACTCACAGTCACCTATTATTTTATATATGTAATAGTCTAATAATTAATCTATAAATGTATATTCTCACACTAATATGTGTATAAATAAATCTAGATTCTCACACGTGGACACACTTTTTTGTTCACACAGTGACACACAGCGTTACATACATCTGCTGCACAAAGCCCCACACAGGTACACATACATATAGTTTAAAAATAAGTTATATTTACCGTATAACTGGCAGGGGAATGCTGTCTGAGCCATTCGGATTACCCCCTTGCTTCCCCCAGGGCAGCTTGTCAGCAGCTGTTGGACTCTGGACACAAAATGAAGCTGCTCATCCCAGTTTAAGCCCTGAGCATTTCCTGTGGCACCAGGAGTTGGCATGACACAATGTGTGCTCCAGGGGTCCCACACAGCTCCATGCTTGCTCTGTCTGGCTGAAGCATGGCACAGCTCAACACAGCTTGGCATGGCTTGGCACAGAGTGACACGGCTCAGCACAGCTCAGGACTGCTTGGCTCAGTTTGGCATGGCTTGGCACAGCTTGACATGGTTCAGCATGGCTTGACAGCTTAATATGGTTCAACATAGCTCAGTATGGCTTGGCACAGCTTGGCTGGCCAGGCCCATCCCTGGCCTGGGGATGGGGGGAGCCATCCACACTGCCTCCCTGCCCCACTGGGGGAAGTGCCAACCCTTACTGAACCAGCACCCAGACAGGAACCCACAAGGGGCTGGGACTAAGGTTCGGGTCCACAAAACTCATCCCCTTCCAAGACTGGTGCCTTCCAGCCAGCCAGCCAGCAGCATTTGGGAAAGGTGAGACCTGCCACCATGGCCACTGCCCCTGCCCCTCCTCAGCCACACAGATGTTGTTTCACAAACCCCTCTGGCATAGGACAAGTTTTCTTAAACCACAGGCATTTACACCTCGTGTGTCACCACACAAGGATTTGTTGCCTTTATGTTGTGTCTTTGTTCTTCAAATACCTCACAGTTCCTTACTCACCCTTCCTAAGCCCTCATAAAGGAGGGGCAGGTGTGTGGGATGGATGGATGGATGGATGTCCTTTCATTAGGTCAAGTTCTCCCAGGCAAGCACCGAGCTCCAAGCACAGTTTTATCAGTGAGCACATTGCAGAGTACAGCACAAACTCTGCTCCTGCTCCAACTGCTCCCACCACTCCTCATAGGAGGAATGAACTTGTAAGAAAGGGAAGGTGACATTGCTCTTTCATTTTGTACTAGGGGAAACCATCCAGATACACTTTGATGTTTATTAAAGGCCTGTCTGAACAGCTCCTGTGCAGCAAAGCCTGCCCAGCTTGCACAGGGCTGGAAGCCACCTACCAATTAATATTGCACCCAGCCCACAATAAACAGAGAGGGCTCTTGCAGCTCAGGGATGGCATCTGTGTGCAAGTCAAAAGCACAGGTCTGGGTTATCATTGCTACCACTGAAAGGAAAAACACAAAACAATTACATTTGCCACTTCTTCACGCTGTGACTCAAAAGTTAGGACTTAGTAGCAAGGAGAGGGAAGGAAAGCAGCAGTACCCTGCTGGGACTGACTGCTTTGGGTAGGAAAAAGACCGGGACTGAGGCTTAAGGGACAACAACAGAGCAAGTGGAAGCGGAGATCCCTGCAATTAACCCTGGCCTGGGTGGGTCACTGCATACAGTCATGTAAAATCATTCATCATATATAATAATGTAAAATTAGAAGTCAGGGGGTTTTAGTAGTTACTTTATTACAGTTACATACCCAAGTTAAAATCACTACAATATTCACAGCTGGCTAGAGCAAGGTTCTAACTTCACTGAAGAATGACAGTGCCCCAAAGGTAAAAAAAACACTGTTTCCACTCTGCTCTCTAGGTTAAGACTACAGACAGCACCTCCAGCAGCCTGGGACAGTCCTTCGTGCTGGATTAGAGGACAGGACCCAGATTTCCAGTGCAAAGGCAAAGTTCTTTCAAGATTACGGATTAAACTGTACCCAACATGTTCACAGCTCAGGATAGATGAGGGACCCAGATTAAATCAGCTCCATTCACCGCAGAAATTCCAGAGCCACACATACAAATATTCACAAAGAACTGGACAC